TTGAAACTTAAACTTTGCTGCAATATCGCAAACATCTGGGGCAAGTAGTGGAGTGCTGTGTGTGTGTGTGTGTGTGCGTGTGTGCGTGCGTTTTCGTGTGTGTGAGAGAGGGAAATGTTGAATCACGTAATAAGCAATGATTTCTCTCTTTCTCTGTCTCTCTCTCACTTTATTTATCTCTGCCGGTAAGATGCACATTTTAATACCAGGTGTAAATGGGGCGTGAGAACCCCCACGAAGCTCAGATTATAACTCAAACCCTGTTTGTGATCCGTGATACGGATCTGTCCAAAGGAATTCATCGTCATACCCATTGTATCCGCTCATTATATCACTACTATGAACCAATCTGATTGGTTGATTTGAGCTACCCGTTTTATAATTTTAGTTTACACATATCTTAATAATCTGTCTCATTGTGAAAATGACCTTTGGTCTCATTTATAAACCAATGCGTAGGATCCTTACTAAAATCCAACGAAGGTTGAGGTCAAGGGCAACTGGACGTGGTTGAAGATACTAGAAGACGTTTCGTCCCTCATTCAAGAGTCAGTTCTGAAGTAGAACTTGACCTCAACCATCGTTGGATAACTATGTCCTGGATGACTGAGAACCTTCACAGACATCCTTACTAAAAGTGTAAAAATGGCTTGTGCCAAAATAAAGACTCATAATACCTTGCCTACAGTGAGTTCATCAAACAGACCAGTACTTGAAATATAAAAAAATAAGTGTTTAGATCTAAAGGTGAAGGCAAAAAACTAATTGCACCCAACCTCCAGAGCGTGGCTGCTACTGGTGGGGAAGGTGTGCCGGGTGAGGTGACTGGAGGAGGCAGAGTGTGTGCGGCAGCCACCGCAGTGTCTCAGGGCGTAATATTTTATCCACAAAAACTTTATGAAAACAAAATCATTCTGGGTGGTACATATATGTTAAATGCATAGCATTAGAAGGAATTATTAAAAACTACTGACACTCAGTTCTGCAATTCTTTCATGCTATTTGATATCTTGGATCCTCAACCAATGACGATAATTTTATCAGTTTACCTAGTTAATTTGGTTGAGGTGAACAGGAAAAACTATTGACACTCTGTTCTGCAGTTGTTTAGTCTATCTGATGTATGCAACAGTATACAATATGGCTTTTCAGAGGCGCCTTTCCTGACAAGACTGGATGGAATCTTCTGAAATTTTTTGGGTAAGAAAAGCAGTCCCCCAAGAGAATATCAGTATTACTACTAGGCTTTAAAATAAATAGTGTTGAAATACTGACTGGCGCGCGCGCGCACACACACACCTAATTTCAGTAACGGGAATAAAGCAGAAGCACTATAGCAGCTATCCAATAAATGAGATCCCTGGTCAAAATGGCATGAGCAATATTAATGTCCCCTCCAATAGAGATATACTAAACCTTAGTTAGCGTTAGAAACAAAAGATCCAGTTTTGAGAACAGGTGACACAAATGCCAAAAACTCCAAAAGTTGTTGTATTAACTCTTAATATAATCACCAAAATTACATACGTACATTTAAAGAGAAAATGCTACTGTGAAAACCTCCTCAACAACAACTTTCTTTTTAAACACTGAATGAAATCACAAGTTCACATCTGCAGTCATTTAGTGGAAATAAACAAAATAATAGCAAATATTTAAGGAAGCCTGTTCTTCATATTTTGCCTGTCATTTACATTAAGCCATAGTCTTTTTATCCACATCACACCTAAGAGAGATTTATATTTTAGACTGAACTGCTGCTGCTGCAGCAGACTGATGGAACCTCACACTGTCCAATATGACACTGAAAAAACACTTAGTTTCCCACACCCTTACATCACAGCTGCAAATGGGACACTTTCTGCTTCCAGTTTTTATTTGCATTTTTTTTACTGTCTGTACAGTAATGTAACCAACCTGGCTTATTACAGTGAAAGGTTTTGTACATCTTATGTGTGTTCTGAAACTGAGAATATTGTCAGAAGACTGTCAGGTGAAATCTGTTCTCAGTCTGCACTTGTGTTACACCACTCTTTTATGCCTTTGCAGTCTATTCAGTAGCACATCAGAGCAATTGAGAAGATCTGTAAACTGCAGCAGGTTCAAGTTAAACCTCTTTTACAGTGATCTCTAATGGCAGTGAAGACACAGCAGCTGCATAAAGGTGCATGTTGGTTCTGAGGTCACAAAAATTGGGTTTGAAAAAGGGGAAATGTATCATCTCCATTGAATCCATCCTAGTTATTAGCCACTGTAGAGCAGGCTGCGACTAATGATTATTCCGCTAATTATTTTGTTAATGAATAGAGTCCAGTTTTCTTGTTTTTTTTTCCTGAACAGGTTGGTTGGGCGGGGTCGGTGTGTGTGTTCACTCGCACAGACTTCACTCACTTAAAAACTTGAAATGACGTTACAAGTCGCGGTGGATATTTTACAAGCACATACCAGGTAACGTAAAGCAACATTGAACACAGGGTGCAGATGTTTGTTTGAGTTGTTTTATAGTCTGCGTCATTAAAAAGCAAGGGGCTCACCTGCTGCCGTGATAACGGATCGCGGGTGGAAAAGTATGGAAAAAAAGAGGACTGCGTAGTCTGCCGAGGCCTCTCTCCACCGCTTATTTGGGTGGGTGATTAACATCCCGCCCCAACTGTGACCCATGGTTTGATTGTATGTGTATTCAGAGCGAGTGAGCAAGGGACTTTCTAACTAATAATAATAAAATAAAAACTGCGTTAACGTGCGATAAAATAATTGTCGGCGTTAATTAATTAATGCGTTAACGCGATAATAACGCGTTAAGGTGCCCGTCCCTAAAAGTAATTTTTAAAACAGTTAAAGATGCCTGTGAATCCAAAACGCGTGTCCAAAACGCCAGAATGCTTATATAACCCAGTATAAATAGTAGAGTATAAAAGAGTTCATTATAAGTAAATCTGAGATTAAAAGTCATTTTATATTGAAGAACAAGGTAAAAAAATATGATGATATGTTTTTGTTAAAGTTGTTTTATGTTACACATATGTTGTATGATAAATAACTCTAAAAATATAATGTTTTAAAAACATGTTATGAGGAGTTCATGGGTTGTATATACAACTGGTAAATCTGTGGTAATTGTGCTGGAGTCTAATAGTGGGTTTTCACTGGTTGATGCCAGTGGGCATGAGAGAAGTGCATGATCAGGTAGTGAGCAGGTGTTTGAGTGAGTGAGTGAGTGATTGACAGAGAAGAGGGAGAAAAGAGTTCGGAGAATTGTATTAGCTTTGGCCCACAACCAAATTCAAACCATGTAAAAACCACAGAAATATGTTGTCTATATGCAATCCACTACTCCAGCTAAATCTGTCCATTTACACAATCTTTCCTGAGTATACAACCAGACCAGCCACATAAAGGCTTATGTATATAATTACTATCATTATCTCTAAAGTGCTCATTCATACAGTAGCCTAACGTCCCTATCCAGGAGTAAAATATTAATATCAGATTTGCATATATAGAAGTAATAAGCTTGATACACTATATGAATAAAATTCAACCAATTTAATAATAATCTGGATCAAGCCACCAAGTTCTTAAAGAACTCCAGCACAGAGAGAGGAACAAAGAAATATTAACACATTATATAAATGCAGCAGTTTTGCAGGTCTGGACGCAGAATGGGCCACATCAGGTCCGGATTCTGCAGACAGAGAAACAAACATGAGCACATCGCTCTCAAACACAGCCAGGTTGTTTACCAATCAGGAGCTGTGAAACAACAGCACGGCGCTGTCGATAAATAAAAAATAAAAGTTACCTTGCGTTCTCTGGTGGACCTGGATCAGCTGTTAGCTGTAACACACCACAGGGCTAATGCTAACGTTGCTATGTGGCTGTGTTTTAATGTATTAATGACCGGGTCAGTTTGTTTTGGAGAGGTGACGACCTCTGAGGTAATTCGGCTCCCGGTAGGACTCTGTCAGGGCTCTGAAGTGGACCCAGAACAACTCTAATCAGCTGTTAGCTGTAATGTTAAACACTAGCAGGACTAAAGTTACGGTGCGGCTGTGTTAAAACTATAGCACAACATCACTGCGCTGTAATAATGTTATGCTTTATTAAATGTCACATAATTAACAAAATAGCTATATAATGTCAGTCCAGTGACTGTTACCTGACAGCCGACCTGCCTCTCATTCTCCGGCGCTGTCAGTCACTCAGCCTGCCGAATGAATGAAAGACTGAGGAGGACCCATGTGAGCGGTGAACAAGTCGTTCATTCCTGCTCCACAGTAGGAGATGTCACGTGACAAATGAACGACTCAGACCTAGGGACCCACAGTTGAGAGTCTAATCAGTTGTTTCCTGTGCTGCCTGCTTAACACAGCCCTGTAGCTGAGCTGTCACGTGACAAATGAACGACTCAAACAGACCAACAGTTGAGAGTCCAAGATCCTTCACGCATGCGTGAAAATGAACGAATTACTCACTGAGTTCCTCCCGAGTCATACACACGATTAGGTCTTATGAACGAAACGTTCATTGAACGACACAACACTAGTTCGTTGCAAGTCAAAGAATCCACCGAGGAGATGATAGCAAAAATAGTAGCACAGTAGCTAAATAAGTAGCATAGTAAGCTACATAGTACATTCATTGGAAAAGTGAATGCACAGTATATCTTCAGTTAGCTAACAAAGTTCATCAAGAGGACTTATACATCGCTTTCAACGAGGAAACGCTGAGGAAAACCAGATAGCGCTCTGCGCTAACGTTACCAGGCTGCTTAGAGTTCCTCTGGCCACGTGGGAAAGAGGACGCAGAAGGCTCATCTCTTGTTCCTGAGGAGTCTGTCCCCGACACTTCGCTCGTAGACAGTGACTGTCGGTAGACACATCACAAAAACTCACAGAACTGCACCAGATATCAGGTACTTTTACTTTATTTAACTGCTCATTAACTGAGTGAAACGACCATTTGGTTTGGGGTCTCAACGTACACAAGCCATGCATCAGGCCTGCAACGTTGTTTCAAGTGATTTTGCCGGGTGTTACAGTGTGGGCCCACTGATATTTGTTACAGTTAAAGTGCATTTGTAGTGAACTGTGTTATTGTTATCTTGCTACAGAACTACTGAATTACCTCAGATCCTGTGTGAAAGGAGGGAAACTTGAAATGTGATTTATTGTATATTCCACCAATTGTTTATTTTGCATTAATTTTATTAAATATTTTTCCAACGAAGAGAACTTATTTAATCATATACCAGAGTGGTGTTTGATTGTTTTATTTGAAAGCCAGTTATCATATTTGAGTTTTACATTTTGACTACATGGGAAGTTAAGATAGTTGACACTAGCCAACAGCAGTCTTAGAAGTTACAGTTGTGAGTTTTCTCGTCCGACATTTCAGCTTTTTGGCGGCGAAAAGCATTCTGGGAGATCTGGCTATCTGAAGTCCACACAAGTCACCACCGATGCAGGCTCGGTAAAACGGGCGGAGCAAGAACACATTCGGGTATTTGACTGTATTTGGCTAGATGCAGACTTTGGAATTGGAACAGTACTTTGGCTGCGACTCATGACGTTTCACAAGTCCACAAGAACACCAGTACAGAAAAGCACGCAGATTGAGAAACAGTCTGAGTCTCAGTGTTGATATTAAGCAACTATATTCTAAAAGAACTCAGGGCCCAGCCCAAACTTACTTTCTAAAGGGTAGGAACATTGCACTAATCCATTTGAGAAGCTGGGACTGTCAATTGTTTGCGTTTTGCTTGAGAAATCACTATGTTAATTGACATATCGTTGTGGCTCTGTGGTGCAGCTCCTGGAGACCTAACCCAGTTTTGAGATCAGTGTCTTTCTCAAGAGCAATGGCAGGAACAGCTTTACAAAGGTGGTATTTACTGTTCAGTTTGTGCTTTTGTGACAAACCATCACCTCCAAAGTGGTCCAAAGCACTGCAGGTGCAAAGCTTTGTGGTATTTTTGTGTTAGAGTGGCATTTGGCTTTGACTTATATTGATACAATGACATTAAATGAGATGTGTCTGTACACCTACTTGCTGATTTGAATACTACCACAAAGGCCCACCCATTGTACAAAACAAAAGCTGTTATTTTGCGGTAATAAAGTTTAAATGGCAGGATTCTTACAATTCAGCTTCTGGTGGATGCCGTGTAAATCTAGCTCAAAATGCTCTGAGTTAATAACATTTAAGCTAACTTTAAATGACCTTGACCTTAATTAGTGACCTCTGAGGGGCTCCACAACATGATTATGACTCATTTAGTGCCAAACAAGACACTGCTGGAAATGACTAAAAACCCCTGATAAACTGCTATTATATCCATGTAGGTGTGTGATAAGGGTCTTCTAAAAGTATCATATCTCCGGTGTCAGTGTTTAGAATCATCTCAGTACTGAAAGCTATATTGGTTGTGTTTTGAGTAAATGTTAAAAATTATATGAGTAAGGAGGTGCTTTGTAATAATGAAGACATTTTTGACAGTCAGTAGAACACAGTCTCTTTGGTGAAGAAAAGGATGCTTAAAGTTCATCAATGTCTATTTTTATGTCATTTCCTCAACTGAAAATGTATTTAACATGTAAAAAAAGAGAATTATTTGTATTCCTTTATTTAGCTGTCACAAATATGATGGCTTAATTATTATGTAGAAGATCATTTCAGTTTCCTGTTGACTTTTTTTTCTTCTGGTTAGCTTTTGCATATTCATAGCAGCAGCGTGGATGTGGTGGGAAGGCACCACACAGACACCGCTCAAAGGTCTGAAACCACATCCTTAGTCACACCACTCATGATGACGCCTTTGCTATGACATTGTTCCATTAGACATTCTCACACAGACATCAGTGCATTAGTGACTCCGTTGGCTTGTTGACTGATTAATTGGCAGGGTTTTTCATTTTAAAAAAAGGTAGGTTGGTCGATTCTTTAAACATATTAGAAATGAGAACAAAAAATGTTGATGAAAATTAAATTTTTTTTAAGATGTAAGCTGGTTTAAGATAAAATTTGTTATTTATTTAATTACCTTTTAATTCTGACCAGTAAGCATTGATGTTCTTATACTGATGTATTTAATTATTGATGTTTGCTAATCATAATGTTGACTACATCTGAGATTGTAGATAGACTTATTTGATAACTAACTAACCATTGTCCTAAATTAGCAGCAAATCCCACAGGAAGGCTGACTCTTTTCCCCACGTTTAGTTGTAGTTTGTTTTTTTGTTGTGTTCTTTTTGGGGGGGGGGCCTCAAAACAAATTTAAAACAAATATATCTGTGTTTGGTTTCAGCAGCTGTGTTCCTTCTGTCTGAACAGTGGCTGATAACCTGTCAGTCAGTTCTCAATCAATAGTGACATACGCCCATTCGTTAGAACGCTCTCATTGGTATTAAATTATGCCACCAAAAGAGAAACACATTACATAGCTCTTCTGGGAATACTGTTTCATACACATTTTGCTGAAGTGGTGTGCTTTTAACAAAAGAACGTCTTATCTATTTATCTTGTACCTATCCGTGACCATCAGTGTGTCATCTGTATTTTTCCACTACAGTCCCCATGGCTCTGAAATCTGTGCTCTTATTGCTGCTGTGGGACCTCCATTTGTTTATTTATGGTGGTAAGTTGGCTTATCTAATATCTGTTATCTTCTTGTATTGATATGAATTTCTAAAGGCAGTTCCCCACTTAAAGTACTTAATTTAAGATGAACTTAAACTCTTGTACATTGTTATGTGATTGTCTTAATGGCACGGCCACGTTTTCCTTGAAAATTAGATTCTTGATGTCAGTGAGATTGCCTTGGTAAAATCATTTAAAAGACTAGACATCCGTAGAGCACGAATGTCATATTTAAATGCAGCGTTGTAAATTTAACCGCACGTTTCTTTTCTGTCGCAGTCACTTCTTTGTGCAAAGTCACCTGCTCAACGGACTACAGTGTCTCATTGAACTGTTCCTGTGCAGGCTCTGTGCCAACACATCCTGTCATCCTAGAAGTCAAGTGCTGGTACAGGTTGTCTTTAGTCTTGCTGTTAATCAGTGTGCTTTATTGTATGTTGGTGCATTATACAATATGTGACTTCATCATAGCAATGGTAATCTGGGAGCTAGCTGTTGGTTTTACCCTCTAAATTACACATTATCATGACAGTATCACCTGCTTGGGTCATTTTGAATATTGTGCTCGTAACAATTTAATAGATGTTATGACGACAGTTGTTATTGCCGTGTTGGAAACTTTTGAATATGGCATTGCATCAGAAGAATTGCTCTGCTCAAATGGAAACACTGCAGGGTGTTGAAGAGACCGCATTTCAATGCGAAGTTGCATGAAAGTATTTCCATCCAAATATTTTCAATAGTAACACCCTTCACTGATGTCTGAAATGTAAAATGTAAATTCAATAACAGTGGGCTACATGCATGCATGCCATTGATTGTACTTTACATTAAAGTATAACATTAACAAACATCTTTTAGAAGGATTTCTTAAATTTGAATATTTAAGTATTGGAACCAAGATATGTATCTAGAGGGTGAAAGTGCTCCCTGGTGGACAAATTATGTAAAGATGATACAGTTTAACTAACAACTATTTTGATAATCAATTCATCGTTTGAGTCATTTTTCAATTAAAAATGCCAAACAATCACTGGCTCCAGCATCTCAAATGTGAGGATTTGATGCTTTTTTTTGTCTTATACGATAATAAATTAAATATGTTTGGGTTTTGTACTTTTAATCAAAATAATAATGAATTTGAATACTTCACCTTTGGCTACTGGAAATTATAACAGGTTAGACGGATTTTTCTGACTTTTTTCTTTTTAGAGAAAAGTTAATTTAATTTATTGTACTGAGAAACTATTCTGCAGATTAATAATAATAATAATGATAATAAAAAAATAACTTAATAAATTAAATTAATATAAGTTTTGGACAGTTAATTTATTGTCCTGAGCTTTTAACAGCTCCATACATGGAGAGGGACTTATGTGAAACACACTTACAAGAAGCATTACTGTGAGATATTTAATGTTCTTTCTATGACGGGTAAAAAAGTAAACAACACCAAGCTTTGCTTTTGTCCCTCTGATGTGTTTTTGCCCTAAACAGACATTGATGATGTGAATTGAAGCTATTTATATACCTGCGCTGCATCAGTCTTGCTCTAAAACAACATCAAAATTAAACTACAACCCTTGGTACTGCGATGTCGACTTGTGTCACAGGGCATTACTGATTATAACACACTCTTTAAATGTAAATGTACTTTTATTTGTCACATACACATACATGTTGCAATATTCATCCTCTGTATTTAATCCATCCCTCATGGAACAGCGGGCAGTCGCTGTGCAGCACCCGGGAACCAACTCCAGATCTTATGTCAGTGTTTGGTCAGTGCACTGACTGAAGAAACCTAAAATTTTTTTGATGTCTTTATCTGTTGTAGTGATGGACAACTTAATGTTACTGGCAGCTGTGAAGTAACACCGCTTCAATCCTGGTGCATAATGTATCCGGAAATGCTTGAGGACGTTGCATCCATTGGAACAATGTGTACTGCGAGTCAACAAGGTGATCATGTATTAATGAATGCCAGTGAGTCATCCAGCTGGGCACTGAGTGATGTTGGTAAGTTAAACTGATAATAACTACGTGATTTGACATTTCAGTATTCATATTCATTTCTGCTGAACAGATTGGAGGATAACGCAGAAATTAAAAAAGGTCACAGACAACAGCATTTTCTGTTTTGTTTTTTTTTAAAGTACAGAGAATCCAGAGATGGCAATAATCATACTTGCAACTTTCCCAACTTACCCCAGTTGTCGTTTGGCAACGCCCACCCACCTGCTTTACCCTTGTGGCGTAGAACATTCTTGGCATACACTCATTTTCAATTTCATAATATTCCCCATGTCCCCATGGGACTTTACTTTCACAGTGAAACCTCCGCCTCCTTTCGATGTTCAAGTGACAAACACTGACGGATTCTACAACATCACCTGGAACTATGACCCACCTGAAGACTGTCTCACTTACACTGTCCGTATAAGAGAAAGCAAAGACTTGTCAAAGGTAACACATGAATAAAATACCAAAACACAAACTGGAATTGGACTTTAGAGGTGTTTCTACTGACGACTCCCATGCAAAGCTGTTCTGTTTTTAATTCCTTTCTGACAGGAACCAGCTTATTCCCTGTTAGTGGAACAAAAGCACATTCTTTTAGACCCTAAGAAGCTGCAACCGCGTGTCAACTATACGGTGGATGTTCAGGGCAAATACTGTCCTGGCTTTCTCTATGCGGGTCCATGGAGTGAGTGGAGTTCCACTGGAGAATGGAGGACTACAGGAACTTCTGCAGAGATTGACGGTAGAGGAGCATTGTACATTTCAGCCTATATGAATTTGTCTTCAAATTCAGTCTAAATCAGACTATTGAGGCCAGTCACAAACATTATTTTGTTGTGTTTTTATGCTTCACATCATCATACAAGTGTGTCTTTCTGCACTGATCCATCATACAAACATTTCAGAAACAGGACGATTGTTTCTCACTGCATACTTTATACGTTATTTCTCCTTTACAGGAAGTAAGGGATTTTGGTGGTGCGTGCCCATTTTGCCTGTTGTGCTCCTTGTCCTTGCTCTCCTGTTGCTGGGTTATTTACAAAAAACGTGAGTACTGTAAACACTGGAGTTACTTTCTTTTTCTACAAGTATTCTCAGTACTCAAAATGTCTCTTGGTAAACATTTCAATGGTTCGCATTTTTGTGTTCACAATATTTTCCAAAATATGTCTGGGTTTGCCACTTCATAATGTTTATGCTTCATTTATGTCTTTTTATTTCAAACTGGTGGTTTGATGTTTTTTGATTACTACCAGCTTTTGGAGAAACTTGCAACAATTAACATATTTGGACTCAACAAACTACTAAAATTATAGAAATAAGACCTGCAAATCGTATTAAAGGTCATATTTCCTTTGAATTTACACATCTGCATTCATTGCACAGACAAAAAACATTGCAATGTGAAAGCAAAGTCAGTCTTAATAAGGTCAGCAACATGTTGCTTCCAGTAAATGATTAGCAAAGCTTCTCACTGCTTCGATTTACACTTTCCTGGCACCACCTCCCACATATAGAGAAACCACTGATGTGCTGTATGTGCAGCGACACATTGCACTGAAATGTCTGGCAGACATAGGAAGTCATGCAGAGCATCAGTGTCAGAGAACTGAGAACACCTCATTTATTAAGGGCACACGGTTACAAGGGAAAAAAACAAGCTTAATTAAGTATATAAACTTAGCACTTGCACTATTTTCTGTTTCCATCCATTTTAAAGGATGAGATAAGAAGATAACTTCTGTGAGCTATAATGATTTCAAGTGGTTTTGGTTCAGTGCACCGCTTACATAAGCACTTCACAGTGAATCTCATTAGCTGTACCAGCAGTTTGCATATTTCTTGGCAGACATTAGTGATAGTCAACCGGTTTGGGAGGTACACTGAGCTAAAACTCATCCCACCTCCATGAAGGTTTTTAATGTTCCATTTTTGTTGAATCTGTTTTAGAGCGATTTTATAGTAATTTGGGAGGCTGCAGTTTGTGGTGCTGTGAACTTGTAATACTTGCAGGTGTTTTTCAATATTTTGTCCACTGCTTTTATGTCAATGAGGGCAGGCAAAATATTAGAAGCATCTGTCAATTTAACAGCTATCCAAATTGCAGCCAACAAAATCACCATGATGTTCAATCAACATCTCTCTGAAACAGCCTCAACAAAAACATGAACATTATAACCTTCATGAAGGCAGGACTTATCGCAGTATTGTTGAATACAGTAGCATACAGTTTATTGTCCCTGCGTCCCAACAGGCAATCCTACTAATAATAACAATAAACAACACAAAAATAATAAGCACGACATGCATCAGAAATCATCAGAAATACAGCAATAAATATTGTCCCGCTATTCTAACAAAACAGGCCGCCTTGTTTTTGTTTGTTTCTTTGTTTGTTTTTGGCCACAGTCAGCTTATCATGCCATAAGATGATTTAACACAAATAGGCTCTCTATCAGGCTGCAGTAGTTCTAGCCAGTTTCAGACTTATTCATACAACACTCAAAACTATCTTGCCAGTGGAGCAAAATGGGTGAAAACACTGCAAGTTAACATATAAATGATACAATAGGGGCATGCCATAGTATGTGGACAATCGTGACGTCAAATACTTTCAAAGCATTGAGTATAAAAGTTATATATGAGCAGCAGACTGCTGTATGATGTTAGGGTTGCGACATTGGGATAAAAAGTTTTTAATGATTAAATAAGAGATAAAGTTAAATCTTCTGTGAGCAGATCTCCACACACTGTGACATGCTGATCAGTTGAAGAACATTCTGCTAAAGTTGTTGACAGTAAAGTGGGTTTTGCCTGTTAATGTAAAGGAGATTCGC